AGAAAAAGTCAGGGGCCCCTGCAACCCTCCATGGGTATACGATCTCCAGATTGAATATTAACGAGTCAGTATTGATCAGCGCACATGACATAGGTTCCTAGGGTGCTGGACTAAGAGGTGTTTTTGCCTTTGAATCAGTGACCTAGGTAATGGAATTGAAAGTATGTTTATTAAGGCTGGGCACTGCAGCTCATGCCTGTAATCCCAGCACTTTGGGAGGCTGAAGCAGGAGGATCGCTTGAGCTCAGAAGTTCAAGACCAGCCTGGGCAACAGAGCTAGACTCTCTTTCTACAAAAAATTAAAATTTAATTTTTATTTATTCATTTTTCCTGGTGGTTCTGGGGGAAAAATGAAAAAAAGAGAGCATGCATATTTGGCTTATTGATGATCTCACACAGGGAAGGACATCTAAGCATGTCTTTGTTGGACACCTCGGTTTTCCTAGAGGATGTCACCCCTCCCTTCCTAGTTTATGGCTGTTATATATGGCTTTGCTCTGATGTAGCAACAGATATTTATTCAATTTTAAAATCTGATAACTTTCTGAAATTTTTGAAATGTTTAATTATTTACCTGATAAATAAGAAATTTCCAAAGTTTCAAATAGATATAGTCACTATGCAGAGGATAAAGCCAGTCTGAAGTCGCAGAGGTGAAGACTTCCCCAAACCAGTGAGTTTCACTACATTGGGGACAGAGGATGGCAGAGGAGGTGGCTTCTAGCCTCAAAAGATTGGCAGGCTCCAAGACACTGTCATGGTGTCCCCCTCCCTCTTCCAGTCCTCACTTTGGATATAAACCCTTCTCACTGGCCACACTGGGCAGTCTAATTCAGTTTCTCTCTCTTTTTTTTTTCCCCTTGAGACAGAATCTCACTCTGTCGCCCAGGCTGGAATGCAATGGCACGATCTCAGCTCACTGCAACCTTCACCTCCCAGGTTCAAGCAATTCTCATGCCTCGGCTTCCCGAGTAGCTGGGATTACAGGTGTGCACTACCATGCCGAGGTAATTTTGTATTTTTAGTAGAGATGGAGTCTCACTATGTTGACCAGGCTGGTCTCAAACTCCTGGCCTCAAGTGACCTGCCTGCCTTGGCCTCTCAAAGTGCTAGGATTACAGGCGTGAGCCATCGGGCGTGGTCCTAATTCACTTTTGAGTCAACCCCTCTCTTCTTACCAGTATGGAGCTCTTCCTTTCCCTCTATCTCAATTCTGTCACCTAACTTGTCCTCTGCCTATTCTGGTGTTGCTCTCCTGCCAACTCACCAAGCACAACCCCTACAGCCAAACTCTACCCACGCAATTCAAGTCCAACCCTATCCTTGCTGGTTTATCCTTTTTTTTTTTCTTTTCTTCTTTTTTTTTTTTTTTTTTGAGATGGAGTCTTGCACTGTTGCCCAGGCTGAAGTGCAGTGGTGTGATCTCAGCTCATTGCAACCTCTGCTTCCCGGGTCCAAGCGATTCTCCTGCCTCAGCTTCCCAAGTAGCTGGGATCACAGGTGCATGCCACCACGCCTGGCTAATTTTTGTATTTTTAGTAGAGACAGGGTTTCTCCATATTGGCCAGGCTGGTCTCTAACTCCTGACTCAAGTGATCCACCTGCCGTGGCCTCCCAAAGTGCTGGGATTACAGGTGTGAGTCACTGCACCCTGCCAACTGTCTTTTAATCTGGCCATCCCATACCTAATGCCTCTGCTGTTTAAGACCTTGTTACCCATCTCAGTCCCATTTTTCACTTTATACTGCCCCCTGCAACTCAACTCAACCCACCCAACTGTGCTCACAGTTTGCCCCCTTTTTTTTTTTTGATATGGAGTTTTGCTCTTGTCACCCAGGCTGGAGTGCAATGACACGATCTCAGCTCACCGCAACCTCTGCCTCCTGAGTTCAAGCGATTCTCCTGCCTCAGCCTCCCGAGTAACTGGGATTACAGGCATGTGCCACCACGCCCGGCTAATTTTGTATTTTTGGTAGAGATGGAGTTTCTCCATGTTGGTCAGACTGGTCTCGAATTCCCGACCTCAGGTGATCTACCTGCCTCAGCCTCCCAAAGTGCTGGGATTACAGGTGTGAGTTCACCCTCTCCTTGACCACTGTTTTGCAGTAAGTTAGTGACAAAGAACCAACACACCGCGGCAGGGAGTGGAGAGAATTCGCTTCTGTCTTTTGTGCCTCTGGAGCTTACAGTGCTAGTTAACTAAACTTTCTCTGCATCTTCCACTAGGGGGTACCACTCCATAACTTTTGAAACAGGAAGCCTGCTGAATGCAGTTCTTAATAAAAAATGAAGTCCAGGCACACTGAATTTTTTAAAAACTTTTCTGAGCACATGCTGTAATTTTATGAAGCAATTTAATTTGATTCTTTTTAAATAAAAGCTGCCCCATGGGCAGAGTAATAGGCAACAATCTTGAGCAGTATAAACCTATATAAGGGAATGCCAATTAAAATCCCAGGTTCTGTTACAGTAAGATAGTCATGAATTAAATGAACTAAATGCAAAAACTGAGAACAGCCAGACAAGTGAAGTTATTTTTATTTTAGCAAGAGAAATGAGCATGCTAAACAAAAGTTGGCTTTAAAACAAAAGCTTTTGTAAAAACAAAAATACAAGCAACTCAGCTGTTCCTGGGACTCTGTAAATGGAACAGAATTTGCTTATCTTTGGGGTGTTAAGAGAAGATCTGCAACAATAAACATTGGTTCAAGGTTAACATTTTTGGGGTTTTTTGAGAAGGAAATATGCCAAGGCCTTACAGTGTAGTGTGGTTGAAGATGCAGGACGTTGGAATTAAGCTGACCTTTGAATCCCTCATCTCCCCATTACAACTATGAGAACTCAGGCAGCCTCCATTGCACTGGCTTTAATCTTAGTTTTGCATCAGTTCATTGAGTATGATAATTGTACCGAATGCCCCCATTTGTGTATGAATTAGACAGGACAATGTACATAACATGCTTACACAGTGACTCTAAGCTCTGGCTCACAGAGGGCACTCAATAAATGATAGCTATTATTCAGTGAGTCATTGTAAGGAAGACGAGGAACAAAAATCTTTGCTTAAAAAAAGACACACTAACAATCATTTTGCAGATATGATTGCCGATAAGCAATTATGAGAACAGAGAAGTTAAGCAAATTGACCAAGGTCACATAGTTATATCCTAAGGAACTTTCAGGGTAGAATCTGAACTTCCTTAAGGTTGGGCCAGCATTCTTTCCCCTATCCTATACTATTCTCCTAATATCTGAGAGTTTATTGGCATAGACTAAATATATTCTGTGGTTAGCTCTTCGTTTTGTTGGCAAATTTTTAGTGAAAGTATCAAAGTATATACATTGGTGTGGCAGTGTAAATATGACTCTAGCAATATGTATTTTTAAAGAGTTTGACCTTTAAGTCCCTTTCCTACTTTTAGAAATTTATCCTAAAGAAAAAAATCTGAAAGAAAACGTTAGGGGGAAAGGGAGACACAAAGTTTTTTAAAAAAAGTGTTATATGTAAAAAAGATGGTCACTATCATATTCTTTGGAATACTGAAAAACTGGATATAACCTACATGTCCAACAACAGTTAAATATGATAGACCTATGAATTATGGCACCATTAAGGAACATAGAAAATGTTTATTTCAATCTTCATCTCATTCCAAAATGAGGTAATTTGACAACTAGAATACTTGTGTATATATCTTAATTACAACCTATTAAAAATTACATATTTACATGGATAAAGTCTGGGAGATAAAATGAAAAAAAAAATGAAGTAATTTTAGCAGTATTTGGACTAGAAATGCCTTTTTTCTTTTCCTTTGAGTTCTTAATAATACTGATACCAAAAAAAGAATTGTTTAGAGTGAACTTGTTTCTTATTTTACTGGTATTAAAGAGTTTACATGATCCAAGTGTCCTTTAATACATCACAACATGTGTAATAAAATGAGAGACATGAGATCTGAACCTTCCTTACATAGTGAACTCTGAGGAACGTGACAACATATATCTGTATCAGTCTTCCACCTCTCGGAACTTATGAGCTGGAAGGGGAAATATAGTGTATATGTGGACCTTGGTACAGCTTCACCTTCAAGATCTTTAACACCCCATCTCATACCAGTACTTTTTCCTCCCAGTTTTCACGGCACTTGCCAATTAACATCATTAGGACTGCCAATCTACCAGTATCTTCTTTTTCTTTTGATCCACAGGATTGGTTTCATTTTCTTCGCCATTCAGATTAACTACTAAGGTGCAACACTTTAGCTACCCCTCCACAAGGACTGCAATACCTCGAATTTTTTATCTTTCAAATTCATCTGCCCTGAAAACCACCATATGCTGGTCACACTCAGTCATTTCTTTCTCCCAGCCTGAGGTGCGGGAGCCCAATGCCCAGTTGCATTCTGCAGAGGGCATTTTTATCACCCTGCCCTCTTGTTTCAGAGGTGAGATAACCCTGCACCTGTTATCTGAAACCAGTGGGTCTGGCTGGTGGATCAGCATCTCCAGCCTGCTCCTGCCTTTGAACCATCACTGAGCTTGCCACCCCTCTTTTCATCCTCATCTGCACGATTATCTTTTTCTCTCAGAATAAACACTTCTCTGATCTCTATAAAAGAAGCCTTTCCTTTAGGATACATGCTCTTCTAGACAGTTATCACTTGCCTTTCTCCTTCCCTTTCCACAGATTTCTAAAAATGGGCTTTCTCCTTTTGAACCTCAGTCTCTTTTTTTTTTTTTTTTTGAGACAGGGTCTTGTTCTGTTGTCCAGGCTGGAGTACAGTGGTGCAATCAGAACTCACTGCAACCTTGACATCCCTGGTTAAAGCGATCTTCCCACCTCAGCCTCTTGAGTAGCTGGGGCCTCAGGCACATGCCACCACACCCAGATCATTTTTTAAATTTTTTGTAGAGACAACATCTCCTTATATTGCCCAGGCTAGTCTCAAACTGCTGGGCTCAAGTGATCCTCCTGCTTTGGCCTCCCGAAGTGCTGGAATTATAGGCGAGCCACCATGCCCAGCAAGACCTCATCTCTAAAAAAAAAAAAAAAAAGAGTGTCTTCCTATCTTGCTGTCTACTTCCCCTTCCCTGCACCTGATGATAACTTGATTCCTGCCACACAAACCACCCAAAGTGTTCCCACAAAAGTCAAACCCCATAGTTCCTTTTCATTTATCTCACTTGAACCCTCAGCTGTGTTTAACTCTGTTGACCATTCCTTGTCTTTAAACATTCTCTTTTGACTTTGAAAATCTGTCACGGAATGAATAAACTAGTACCTTTAGGTCATCCAAGGATAGGAGAAAAGGAGAAAAGGCTCTGAGCTCAAGAATGGGGCTTGCACTTTTAGGGTGTGGTGGTGATCTACTAGAAAAAGACTTAAGATTTACCAGATAGGCTTGGTGTGATGGCTCACACCTATGATCCCAACAATTTGGGAAGCTGAGGCAGAAGGATCTCTTGGGCTCAAGAGTTTGAGACAAGCCTGGACAACTGAGGGAGACAACTCTCTCTCAAAAAAAAAAAAAAAAATCTACTAAAATTGTGAAAACTGAATTCCTTCCTAGAGGCTAGTTTTGTGGACTAGTGATTCAATGATACAGGGGTGGGTGGAACTCAACCATAATGATACAAAGAACTATTTATTCTTTATTGAAAAAAATGGTGAATGGAGACTGAATCACACTATGGGAACTTGTTGAGAATTTTGGAACTTCCTCTCTTGGGGTATGATAAGAAGTGAGGGAATTGAAATTCAAGTCACTTGAATTTCCCTCAGTCTTCTCTAATACCTAAAGTTTCCAACTTGCATTCATTTAACAACATGGAATCAATGTTCCAGTATTAAAACAATATTACTTTTTAATTTTAGTGTGACTTATAGAGTGCAATTTGATACTTAATTACACCCTATGATAAATAGATATTATTGGCTATTTTGCTTCTTACTCCTAATATGTCCCCTATCAGACTGCAAATGCCTTGAGGTCAAAGGTCCTTTTTTGTCTAATTAGCATAGGACTGAATACCTGGAAGATGCTAACAAAATTCCTCTGTTCAATTTAATACGCATTTTAACTTTCCAAGTTTCAGTGGGTTTTGAATGACTCCTGAATACACTATATTATGCTAGGTGTAGTGTAATAGAGAAAACATTTGTATTACTTGCATTTTACAAGCTGGAGGAGAAGCAAGAACACAATACCTAGGGAAGATTTAGTAAGAAATCAGAATGTCCTAATATCCCCTTGGTATATGTTATACCAACCTAGATTTTAAAAAAAGCAAGCCAGAATCCCACACAACCTAGGGAGCTAATTTGAGTCCTATAAATTCTTGTAGTTCACCTCCTTAGGCCAGACACTCCAGATTTCTTTGTGGATAGCAGCTAGGTCTCCTGGGACCTTGGATTGGGCCTTTCTCTAGTCAGGCAAATAATCTGAAAAGAAAACAAAATCACATGTAGTCCAGCACATTTCTTCCTTTCTTGGTTTCTCCACCAGCTAGAGAGTTATTTAAAGGCTCTGAACCTCTCCAGCCTTTGATTCTTTTTAAGGATCATTTTATTTTTAGAGAACTTTCCACATTTCCTAGTTATACAGCCAGACTGGGTGATCTGGCCAGAAAATCATTTTCCCTTAAAAAAAAAAAAAAAAAGCTAAAATTTGAACACAGGCGTTGAATTCGAAACAGATTTATCACAACGTAATTCCCCGGACACTCCCAACTTGAGACTGAAAGCTGGGCGAAAGGGTTTTCTGAAGCTAACTTAAAAGACAAAATGGTCTAGAGTCACCTTTTCCCCGCAAATAACAGGGGATTAACAACCTGAAATCTTCAAGCCTCCCGGACCATGGTGCAAGCCCTCAGCAGAGGAGGCCGGAGCGCCTTTTGATTTCGGGAGACTGGCCCAGGAAATCCAGCCACTTGGAAGGCGAAAGAGAAGGTGGTACCTGAGCCAGGTATGAGCCACTCAGAGGCAGTCCGGGGCCGCCACTCACCTTGGAGAGGAGGAGCTGGAGTCCCATGACCCGGACTGAGAGGAAAGGCGAGACTGAGTCTACCAGGTGAGGTAAAAAACACCCACCTGCTCACCTCGGAAGGGGCGAGCGAGGTGCGGCTCCCGGTGACCCGCGACGGTGGAGCGTACCTGGGCGGAGGCGGAACTGCGGGGTGTGGGCACTGCTTGTAGGGCCTGGAACTAAACTCACCTGTGAGGGAGGCAGAGGCGGGGCCCGGGCAAAAACCCACCTGAGCCGGCTGGAAGCCCGACCCGCGAGCAGTCCCCAGGCTCGCGCGGCGGGGCCCCCCTCGGTCAGCCCACGCGTCGGTCCCCGCACGGCCGCCATGACCTGGAGCGCCACGGCCCGGGGCGCCCACCAGCCCGACAACACCGCCTTCACGCAGCAGCGCCTCCCAGCCTGGCAGCCGCTGCTGTCGGCCAGCATCGCGCTGCCGCTCTTCTTCTGCGCGGGCTTGGCCTTCATTGGCCTGGGCCTGGGCCTCTACTACTCCTCCAACGGCATCAAGGAGCTGGAGTACGACTACACCGGCGACTCGGGCACCGGCAACTGCTCGGTGTGCGCCGCGGCTGGCCAGGGCCGCGCGCCGCCGCCCCGCTGCTCGTGCGCCTGGTACTTCTCGCTGCCCGAGCTCTTCCAGGGCCCCGTGTACCTCTACTACGAGCTGACCAACTTCTACCAGAACAACCGGCGCTACGGCGTGTCCCGCGACGACGAGCAGCTGAGCGGGCTGCCCAGCGCGCTGCGCCACCCGGTTAACGAGTGCGCCCCCTACCAGCTCAGCGCGGCCGGCCTGCCCATCGCGCCCTGCGGCGCCATCGCCAACAGTCTCTTCAACGACTCCTTCTCGCTTTGGCACCAGCGCCTGCCAGGCGGGCTCTACGTCGAGGTGCCGCTCGACCGCTCCGGCATCGCCTGGTGGACCGACTACCACGTCAAGTTCCGCAACCCGCCGCTGGTCAACGGCAGCCTGGCGCTGGCCTTCCAGGGCACGGCGCCCCCGCCCAACTGGCGCCGGCCGGTCTACGAGCTCAGCCCCGACCCCAACAACACCGGTTTCATCAACCAGGACTTCGTGGTGTGGATGCGCACGGCGGCGCTGCCCACGTTCCGCAAGCTGTATGCGCGCATCCGCCAGGGCAACTATTCGGCCGGGCTGCCGCGGGGCGCCTACCGCGTCAACATCACCTACAACTACCCGGTGCGCGCGTTCGGCGGCCACAAGCTCCTCATCTTCAGCAGCATCTCGTGGATGGGTGGCAAGAACCCCTTCCTCGGCATCGCCTACCTGGTCGTCGGCTCCCTCTGCATCCTCACCGGCTTTGTCATGCTGATCGTCTACATTCGCTACCAGGACCAGGACGACGACGACGAGGAGTGATTCCAGCTTTCCAGGGATCCTTCCTGCTTCTTGCCAAAACTCTTTCGAGCTTCTTCTGGCATCTCCTCCTCGCCCCTGGCCCAATTCCAACCTCTCCTCGCTTTTCCTCCCTTTGTGAATGAGGGGATCAGAGAAGGGAATTACCCCCTTGCTCTTGGGGGGCTCGCTAGACTGTCTTGCCGCGGGGAGGGATGTTGACTGCAGAGTGAAACATCATTGCAAACTCTTCCCACCTCCTTCACGACACCGAGTTGCCATGTGAGGTTCTTCAAGTCTGAGAATGGAAGGGATCCCTATGGAGACTCCTGTTCAACCCCTATCAGAGGAAGAGATTGAGAGACCTAGCAATGTGAAGTAACTAAGATCAGGCAGCTGCAAGTGACTCCTGACTCTTGAGTCTAGAGCTTTTGCCACTACAATACTGTGGTTTTCTTTTCTTTGGTGAGGGGAGTGGGTTGGAATGGAGAGTGAGGCCCACAAATTACCTGCAGAGATGTGGAAGCGTGAGGGAGAACATGCTTGTTAAATATGCAGGTAGATTAGGAGACACCAACCAGAGATTCAGTCACAGTAAGGCTGGGATGAGACCCTCGAAGCTGTGTTTTAACAAACTCCTCTGGAGAGTCCCATACTCCCTCAAATTTGGGAATCACGACCCCGAACCAGGTTGGGCCTGAAGCAGTCAACTGAGTTCACTTTTTTGGATAGTAATTTGTTCCCAGGGGCAGTGACAACCATGATGTTCCAGGTTTGGTCTGGCACTCTGCCTTGAACGTAGGAAGCTCTTGATGACTTGTGGAATGAATTTTTAAAAAATCACTATCTCAGGAAAACTAGTTGGCATACAGAGTTGTAGGACAGGGTTTATGTTATTCATTTAATATTTTACTATTTTGGTATAAAAGCAAACAGGCAAACTTTGCCAGGTACTGTGTAGAAACTCGAAAATGTGAGGCCAGTTTGTACAGTTCAGAGGAAATGCTTTAACGTAGAATCAGACAGCTGGAAGAGATCTTCGAGGGAAAGTAAGTTCCCTAAAGTCACATCTATGTCTCCTAGCTCAATCTTCTTTATCATTTAGTGTGTGTGTGTGTTTAGAAAGGGCTTCATACCTTTTCCCTTGTATCCGGAAAAAAATTTATCTTTTCAAATGAAATCTGTTGATTCCTAGTAATCATATTTGAATCAGTGCTAAGGCATATATAGTCTTTTATGTAAACTAGAATCTTAAGATTATTTGAACCTTTGAGATGACGTTAAAACTCAACTAAAATCATTCAATTGATTTTGATTGACTAACATCAATCAATATGTTTAAAGTTATTCTAAGAAGCAATCGTTTTATTTTTAAAAAACCTTGTATGGCAAAATAACTTTAAAAAAAAACCCTTTGTGATATCATCTTACCAGTTTATTTGTAAACGCAAACAGTTATTTGGTATTTGTCAGAATTCTTCAGTGCCTGCTATTAAGCTATTTTCCAGTTATTAATTTGATTATACTCATTCACTTAAGGCAGTGCAAGATCTTGAAGTATTTTTTTTAGCAGTTAAGTAATATTGAATTGTATTGAATAGTTTACATAGTTTATTCTAGTCTTTGAAAATTACTGAACAATGAACAATGTGCATGTCATTGACATCTGCCTTAGAACTTCTGGGACAATCCTGAGTCAGGATATTCTATCCCATTATTTGCATATACCAAAAACACTTTGTTAATTCAATGTGTTGGCCTCCCAACTCCTGAACACGACACAATTTTATTATTAGATTTTGTATGGTGATTTTAGGCTATGAAAATATGATCATTATATGTACATAGAGAAATTTTTATTTGTTACAAATGTTTGAGCAGCTCACTAGCCCAGCCCTCCTCTATTTTGGGTAGGAGAATTTACTACATTTTTTACTATGTAGCTGAGAGCAACATGTATTTTGTTATTTTTAGAATGATCAGTATATTGCTATAAAATGTTAAATGAGGCTATGAAAGTTAAAGTATTCTGATTCTGATTAAATTAATGAATGTGGTTCCAGGCCCTGTTCTCCGGGTTTTTGAGAGAGAATAAAGGTTATGTTTGTCTTACCTTTGTTATCAACTTTGCTTGATTCTTTTGAACTATGATCTTAAAGGCACAAACAGCACTAGCCACTTTGCTAATTTCCTAATAGCAGATTTACACTGCAGCAAGAAAACCATCTTTTATAATAACATTCAGTTAAAATGAACTCAATTCATTGTTGACTTCCTAAAACAGAATTTGAACTTTATCAACCTCAACATGTATATAAACTAGATAGTCCTCAAATGCTGTTTGAATTTAATAAATGTCAATTTAAAATTTTTTGTAGTGTTAAAAGTTATTAAAGAATGTGATCATAATAGTCTTCTGCATTTTACTTGAATTATAAATTGCAATTATTTATTGGATATTTTGGACTTCAAAGCAGCAGAAACTTTAAAACTGAAGAGGGATACATTTTCCTGCAATGATCCCTTGTGCTGTAGCCTTTTGTCTGGTGTCTCAGGCTTCTTGTTGGCCTGAATTCCCTTGTTGCCCAGTAAATGTTCCCTGGCTGGAGGTATCTTCGGGAAGTGAGATAGAAAAGAGTGAACCTCAACAATTGGACTGGAAATGAGCTTTGACCTAACTTTGTAAAATAAAAGCACAAAAGAGAAAGTAAAGTAGTTGGTGAGAGCTCCTAAAACAGTAATATGTCACTGTATTTCCTCAGATGGTTAAAAAAATTAAAACAGTAATATGACACGAAAGATTTTCCGGGTATCTCCACAATCAAATCAACTAACCAATTTGCTCAGTATAAAGTCATTATTGTTATTATTTTTGAGACAGAGTCTCACTGTGTTGCCCAGACTGGAGTGCTATAATGTGACCTTGGCTGACTGCAACCTCTGTTTCCCGGGTTCAAGAGATTCTCATGTCTCAGCCTCCCAAATAGCTGAGATTACAGGTACACACCACCATGCCCAGCTAATTTTTTTGTACTTTTAGTAGAGATGGGGTTTCACCATGTTGGTCAGGCTGGTCTTGAACTTCTGACCTCAAATGATCTGCCCTCCTTGGCCTCCCAAAGTACTGGGATTACAGGTGTGAGCCACCAAACCTGGCCTATGTAATTATTAAAATTCAGAGACAGACTAAAAGTCTGGAATTTCCTTTAGAGCAAATACCACTTCATAATATATAATCAAAACCCTTTCTACCTTACTTAAAATCTGTTGCCGTCTTCCTGTCATGGGAGATCTCAACAATCTTGAGTTAACTCTCAGAGCTGCTGGTAGAGCTGCAAGGTCATCAACTAGTTCCCTATATGCCCTTGGATATAAGAAGTCCAAGGGCATATACGTAATTAAAAAGTAAATTCCCGGCCAGGCGTGGTGGCTCATACCTGTAATCCCAGCACTTTGGGAGGCCGAGGTGGATGGATCAGTTGAGGTCAGGAGTTCGAGACCAGCCTGGCCAACATGGTAAAACCCCGCCTCTACTAAAAATACAAACATCAGCCAGGCGTGGTGGTGGGCGCCTGTAGTGACTGCTACTCAGGAGGGTGAGGCAGGAGAATTGCTTGAACCTGAGAGCCAGAGGTTGCAGTAAGCCGAGATCATGCCACTGCCCTCCAGCCTGGGTGACAGAGTGAGACTCTGTCTTTAAAAAAAAAAAAAAATTCCCTCTTCTGTTATTTTTATTGGACATTTCTTTGTGTACCAGACTTTTTTCTCTCTACCTAAAACAGAGCTGGCTGACTTTAGATGGCAATTTTTTTAAAAAAATTAACTTTAACTTTTTTCCCCAAGAGAATGTCTCTTAAGTCTCCTCCAACCAAAACAGAGTAGTTTTAAAAGAGTCATTAAGAAGGTCTTCATGAGCCTGAAGTATATTAAGGTCCCAAAGAGATTCTTACATCAGAGCAGCAGTTCGTCAGGAATTTGCCAATTTTTCTAATAGTGTTGATGCTATGTACACAGGCATCCTCCATTATTTACCTGATTGTTAGCAATACAATACACTGACAACGCATATTCAGGAAAAAATGTGTCCCCACTGCTTTGCCACCTTGCATTAAGATTGCCGTCATTAGCGGTACTCATGTCAATTAGGTTATCAGAGCACACCAGCATTCCTTTATTTAATGTACTTTGTTGTCCAAGTTCACTTAGGACAGAGAAAAATCCTGTGGCAATGAAACCCAACATAAACTTTGGGGGTTGTAGGGAGACAGGAGAGGAGAATAAAGGGAAAGATGAGGTCTGAAGCATGAGGCATTTTTCTGGAGAAGCAGGATACCTAGAAGGCAAGGGATTGGCAGCAAAGGAAACCCATGATGAGGGCAGGGCTCACCACCAGGACTCATTGATGACAAGGCCTTTGAGAAATTTAGTAAGCGAATGGTGGCTCACCTCTTTCTGAACCCCTTGGCTTGTCTTTTTGATCAATTTGAGTGTGATTTATCTTTTTCTTTAGAAGCAAAAGGTATTACTGTCAAGAACCTTAGCTAATAGCCTTGCCCTCTACATTGAGCTCTTAACTAAGTTCCTATTATAGTGGCTGAAACCTTACATTACCGATGAAAACTGTAAATGATGTGTCATTAATAATGATACTTTGTTCTTCTAAAAGGCCTTTGTTCTGAAAGTTCGAGGTGCTTAACACTACGTGGTCTCATTAATCTTATCCATCAAAATGCATGAAGTGTTAGAAAGTCATCAAGACCAATGAGGTAGAAATACATTCCTTTATATTTTGCTCAGTTTTGTACAGAACTCTATAAAAGTAAGTAATGTTCTAAAAAAAATAGGAAGCGTAACTTCTGGATGAGGCAATGACAATCATTGGAATGGACTATGAGTATTTTCAAAGGAAGACCTGATTAATTCTTGTTATTTTAATAAGTAAAAGACATCTCCAATTTTTGTTAAAGAATCCAAAATGGGAAAGGAAACATTTCCTATTCATGCTAAGTGACAGCATGTAAAACAGTTTCTACTCTTTTTGTTTTTTCCTACAGGTCTTGAAGGATGAAGGCTTATCTGTTATTTCAATGTAGTTTACAAACAACTGAATTGTGGTCTTAAGTTTTACTTAGATGAGCTAATTAGCTCATATATTCCCTTTCATGTATCTTTAAGAACATTACTGAACATCATACATATAAGTGGCATAATCTGTGTCTCCAACCCTAACTTCTTTCCAAACTCACATTTCCAAAAACCTCTTGAACACATCTGAATGCCCTCCCTATAGGTACCAAAACTTCTGTGTGGGCCATACTAACTTCATTGGCCACTTCTCCAAACCCATCCTTCCAAGAATAGCATCAGATGCTGAAAATGACTCCTGTATCCACTCAAGGACCCCGGAATTGCCTCCCTGACTTCTTCCTTTCTGTTTCCTCTTAGAATCAACCTAGTTATCAGATCCTGTAGCTTCTATATTCCAAATGCACTTTCAGTCAATTCTCTTATCACTTCCCTGGCCCAGGGCTTTGCTATTTCTCTTCTGAAAGTTGGAGAAGCCTCCTTCCCGGGCTCCAGTTTATTTTCCACATCACAGCCACAATGAGCTACACAAAACAAGTCTCATCATGTTACCCCTCAATGCAAAATCGCTCATGTCTACCTACAGCCTACAGGAGAAAGTAAACTCCTTAGCAGGACATACACACCTTCATGGTTGGCCTCGTTCTAAGTCTTCATCCACTTTTCCTCCAACACCCCACCGAATTCCAGCCATATTGAATGATTTGAAGAGGCCCTAACCTCTGTGTCTTTGCTTATGCTGGTCTTGCTCCTCCGCCTGACCACCAGAATCTACTCATTCATTCTTTCTTAAGACTTGACTCCGTATTTTCATCCTCTGTGAAGTTCTTTGCAAGTCTTCTTTGCCTCTCCCACACCCTGTCCTTATGCTAGTCCTCTCTTGGTACTCACTCCATTTCTTTCTGGAGCATTTGCCATGTGCCTAGAAGCTGATTATTCATTTATCTATCTCCATATTCAGGCTGCTAGTCCCACGAGAGCTGATAATTTTTTTCTCATTCATCCTTATTATTGCCAGTGCCAAGTACCATAACGAGCACATGATGGGTCCTCAAACATGTGTTGAATGACAACTAGGAAACCAATGACTCCACTACTTTCTTACCACTGAACATTTTATTTCTTACAATATAGATGAATGCATAGAAAATAATTCAGGAAATTATTGGATGCAGAGCTGCATCTAATAATGTAAGATGCAGAGATGGCACTCTAAACATTGAAAATCTTAAAGACAGCTGAGAATGCACATATATTCTTAACAGCATGGAAATGCTCAACGTATCCCATCTGGATAACTTAAACATACAGTCAGGTTTTCCTCCATAAATTAATTTGCAGAAATGAATAGCAGATGGGTTACATTAGTTCATTGATAGTGAGGATAGTTACTTTATGCTCAAAAGTAATCAATATCTTTCCTATTAAACTCCAGTATGTTAATGAATGTTCACATTTTTATGGTGCTTCTTTGTGAAAGAGAATTTTTTACTTACTGTAATATTCTATAATAAAATGTAAATAAACATTGCTTTCCCCTGCCAGGTAATTACCCCAGAATCCATTTAAATGAAAGTAGTATTTGCAGAGAAATATCCAGAAAGGAAGGAAGAAAATAAATGGAATAGTAGTTGTCCCATTTGCTGGCTGGTGTTTGGTTTATAGCATTTGGCACATCTTGATATCTACATAATAGTAGTTTTAAAGCCATAAATAATATTTTACAGAGGTCACACCATAGTTATTTAAGTTCAGGGGTTTATTTCCCTGAGCACTAAGTAGCTATGAATGAATTATGTTTGGTCTGATCTGCCACAGAAGGGCCATAAACCTCCAACTCATAGCAAACCGCGGAATATTACTTCAATACGTCAGGAAAAATGTACATGTAAAAGAATAATGCATGATAAGGGAAAGGTATTTTTTTTAAGTAATATATGTTACTGGGCAGGAGCTATAAAATTTTGTTATGTTAAACTTTCCTCTGATTCTGGAAAACAAGTTAAGACATGGCTTTGCATTGTCTGCCCTCAGCCAGTAAAGCAGGCTGTGGAACCAGAGGAGGTACCCAGGAAAGAGAATCCAGCCCTGAGTAAGGAACAGTTTCTCCTCCCTGCACCTCCGATAGCTGAAAACAAAGAAAAGTTGCAAGATCACAAGAGGTGATTTAATCAACTTTTTGTTACTGCCAGCATTCTTTTTCAATGACTCCCAGGCAAGTGTTTTTGTAGATACTCAGAAGCAAGGGTGCAGACCATTTTTAGCCTTAAGATGCAATTCACTTTAAA